CATTACTTTAGTTAGCTAGAAACTTACTAGCATAATTATGTTATCCTTTAATACTTCAGAGAAAACAATTATAGTTGTCACTACGCTTACCATTATCATCAGCATTACCGTAGATGTAGCCATTATCATTAATATTACCATTATCATTACCATTATAAATACCAATATAATTTCCATTACTATACTCATTACTATTATCATTGTTACAGATAATACCATTGCCATGCCATTATCATTAATATTACCATTATCATTACCATTTTTTAGCATTACTATATTCATTATTATAACCATTGTTATTGAAAATACTTACTCTAGCTTTCAAGTTTATGATGGTTGGCGGTAATAATTCTATTTTACGTTTAATTATTTTTGACATTAGTAGACAATTGTCATTACAACAGCAATTAAATTTGCAATAATTACTCCAATGAAAACTATTGCAATTACCGATCCTTTTACAATACTGTAGTTATTATTGTTCGAGTTATAGGCATAATTACGAGAATAATTTCTCTGCATTGTCTCCATTGTATCATTCGTGTCATAAACGCCGACAATACCATTACTAAAACAATTACATCCACAATAAAAACAAATATTAAGATTATCATGAATATTTTGCTTTCAATTGTCATACCTATTACCACTATCATAACAAGTGTAATTAAAATACAATAACAATTGTGACATGATTATTGTTTACATTATGGAAACAACAAACTTCCGCAGCCACTAGAATTTTATATCATAATTGAGCACGTTGTATACAGGATGTTGTAGCTTTGTTCACTTAGTGTTTGCTTGACGCTAATGAATGGAGATAGAAAACCATTTATACGAGTATATCTGCATAATTGAAAATTATGAGCCATTTATAGAAAAAGAAATTTTAAATGCTCGAACTTGAAATTTTTTTTTATAAATACTATATTTAGTGAATGCACTTTCTATTCAACTGATGTTTGAGTAGTATTAGTGAGTACATGGCTTAAACTTACAATATCCCGTTTTTGATTTATTTTGCTATATTCAACAGCACTTCCGATAGTTGTTTCGCCGACATTGTTTTACATATCCGCTTTGAGAATATTTGTTTACATACCCAGATGTACATATGTGTTGCATAATTTATATATAATAATTACGCATACAATATATTTGAGAAAGCGAGAATGAATCGCACAGTTGGTTTTAGTACACAAATTTCGCTGTTAATTATGTTCTTTACATGGCAGCTGGAGTTCGATAAATGTTAAATTTTGGGAGCTTGGGTGCGATAATATTGCGATTTTTGTAAAGTTTGGGAAAAAATTGTTTTTGTTTTTTTTTGTCTGGCAAGAAACATTATAAAGCAGATTAATATATACGTCGATAGCTAGGCACCAATTAAGGCTATGCTCCTTTATTAAATTCCGAATGAGAACTAAAAGTTACAATTAATTATACTTAACCTGAGTTTGCCGCTGCAAAGGGGATGTAATTCGCTGACTTTGCGCTTCCCACACAGGTGTCGCAATTTCATCGATTTGGCTGGTGTCATATCGCATTTACATTGATATTAATGTATCATATGATATTAACGAATCAAAACAGAAAGTACGGAAGTCACTGAAAAGGATATACAGTGAAATTTCCGAAAAGGCTGACAGACGGATTAGAGCGATGTGTAAGAACCCCGAAGAAAAACACGCATGCTTTTTACTCACATGGTCTCAAAAGGACTGCTGGATCGTTGTTGGCCTAATGACTGGTCACAATCTACTGGCTTCACATACGTGCCAAATGGGCATAAGTACCAACGATACATGCAAAAAGTGCAGGGAAGTAGACATGAGGCAGACGCCTGAACACCTTCTATGCTGTCCAGTATTATTTAGAACACGACTGAGATATTTAAGAGATTAGCAGCTCAAGCAACTAGACGGATTATCAAAATAAGATATCAAATCGCTGAAAACTGAACCTCCATCTAGCATTACTAAGGACCAGTAGGTCTATGTACGGCGTGACAGCCGGCCAGTATAACCTAACATAAATTAACCTGTTACTCAAGGCAGCGCTACAATTTCCGATAAAATTGTTCAGATCGGAAGAATATGGCAAATTCATGCTATAAGAAATGCACGTGTGAAGGGTATTATAGCTTCGGTGTAGCCGAACTTAACGTTTTTTTTGTTTTTCAGTATTAAAAATACCGAGGACCTGTATAAAATCCAAGCCGAAATGCTTCCAAAGAATAAGAATTGAACTGTACAATTGTGTCCCGTTTTTGATTTAGTTCGTAACCGGTATAGGTATTTCTCACCGAAATTTAACAACTGACAACTCTTACAATATATTCCATTTCCCATACAGTTCAGCGGACTACTTCGGCTTGGGGGTTTTACTATATATTATGAAAGTAATTGTAAAGTAAGTAGTTTACAACTAGTTGGTTTGTCATTAGTGTATGTAAAACTGTTTTAATTTTTTATTATTTCATTGCTGTGGTCGTTTTACATTGCCACAACTCACTTTATTACGAAACTATAGTTGTTTTTCTTGTTTCACTGCTGCACAACGCTCAAAAGAGCACCTGATTACTACCAACAACAGCAACAACAGTATTTGCGCTTTTTTATTTATTGCTGTTTTTTTGGTTTTTATTTTCTACCGTTAAGTACTGAAAAGCGTTTTTGTTTTTATTTTTTACCGTTAAGCATTGAAAAGCGCATTCAGTGTTGCATTTTTATTGCCACAAAGTGTTGGCACTTTACACTCTCGAACGCGCACTCGAGCCGGTGCACATACGCCCACTTACTCATACAAACACACTTGGAACAGCGCATTTAGATTTCACACCCGATGCCATATATTGTGATATACAGACTAGGTTGGGTCAAAAATACTAATTTTTTTCCACTTCATACTCTGGAAAATTGGTTGATAGACATTTCTAAGAAACACTCTCCAAGTATAACCTCTTAATTGTAACGGGAAAGTCCTCCGCCTTAGAGCTTTAGAATCTTAGAGCCTTAGAGCCTTTCGAAGAGGTGTCTATTAAACGATTTTTCAGAGTAAGATGCGAAAAGCAAGACATTAGTTTTTTTACCCACCCTAATACATATATATATGGTACACATTAACATATATATAGGTGGGTGTGTTGCCTGCTCATATATCCTTTCTGTAACGCTCGTTTCGAGTTGTGAAGTGCTCTTTACACATACATGCACCTCAATACACAGAGTCGCCTGCATAGTTAAACCAATTGAGTGGAAATTAAATGAAAATGGAAAATCAAAATTGAACATTTGTGCCTTGGTGCTGACACAGGCAAAATAAATACACACCGAAGCGCACATACTCACACATATATACATTTAGATGCAATATATGCATGTGTATGCAATATGCGCCAGACCCACATTTGCGCCCATTGGCCACTTTCGCTGCCCCGTTTAACAATGCGCTTACATTGGCATAATATCTGTGGCACTTTGGCATTCGTAAACATACACATTTACGCTCATATATACATATACTCTCACTTTTTGCGCTTTCGTTTGAGCAGCTTTCACTCTTCTCCAGCGCTTCGTTTTTCTCCATTTTAATCACACTTTACGTTCAGACGCGTCACATTTTTTACGCCGCTGAAAACGTGTGCATTGTACAGTGTCACATAATATAAATATTCATATGTGTGTATGTACCTATATACGGACTATTTTGTGTCACATAATAGTTTTTTGAAGCATTTTTCGCTTCGTTTTTGTGCGTAGATTAGTAAAGCTTCCTAAACAATTACCCGCCAGCGAAAACAAAAGCGGCTTTTCATGCATTTCGCTATGGACTTAATAGTCCAAATGGTAGTAATTTTAGTCTCAACTTTAAGCTACTAGATTGCAAAAGTGAAATCTAAGAGCGCTTAGATGCTTAAGGTGGTCGCATATCCGTTGATTGAATCTGCGCGAAGTAACTGATTCAGCTAGGTATTTTGAAAGAACGCGTTGGTCATATTCTGTATTAAATTATTGGGTCTTTGGGGGTGCCCCTTTTCTCACTCTGGACAACAAGCATAACAGTGAGACAACTTGCCAATAATTGTACCATATTTCGAAAAAAAAAAAAAAATTGTGGTGCTCTTCAATCATAATAATGCATCGGCCTACACTACCGTCGTCGGCAATACCAAATGGGTCGTATTAGATTACGAACTGCTGCCCAATCTACCGAATTTTCGATATTTGGCTTTTTACGACTACCTTTGGTTTCTAAATTTGAAAAATTGACTCGTCGGGCAGAAATTTAAGTTTAGCATCAAATTTCAATCAGTACCTTGAGTAAAATTTGAAGTATCGTCATTAAACTTTTAATACGTATTCCCTGTTGAAATCGGGAAAATGGTATTGTGAAGGGACGTAATCAGATCATTGCCTCGTCCACAAAACGCCACAAATTAAGATACAAAACTGTGAGTTTGTACAACGAATCCCATTTGAAAGGGGCACCTGTAGTATGAAAATTTATAAAAAGTGAGAGACGACTTAAATTGCGATAAATCAATAACTAAATGCGTCGGAAACATTAAATTTTATATCCGAGATGATACGGGAGGGCTTTATAGGAACCGGTGTCAAAATTGCCTGATGGGCGTGGCACCGCTCACATTTAGGTGTTATCACATATATCCGGACTTAGTCGATCAATTTCAACCAAATTCGGCATATAACATAATCCTGACGATCCGATGTCTCCTACTTGACCCATTTTAACCAGCTTAAACCGGTGCCTGACTCTGCTAAATGTTATTATAAGCCTCTTTTCTTCTGGAAAAAGAACTATTCTAGAAGAAAACATTATTATTTACTATTTTTAATCTCACTTTAAAGGGTATCAAATTTCTTCAATTTCCCTTTCTATAAAATCTAAACTTTAATTTTTCTCACCATGCATATATTTTCACCTGAAATTCCTCTAAACAGCATTGAATAAATAATGCCTTGCCATTAATTAAGTATTTTGTGATTTATTAACATAAAATTTAAAATTTTTACACCTATACACATTCGTTATTCTATACTATTTACATACATGATACTAACATAGAGATGTACATCCATATTTTTGCTCTTAAAATTCTAATAAAATTTGCTAATTAAATAAATGTTCTCTAAATAGTAAATACATACATTTTACTTTATTTTATACGTATTAATTAACTTAGAATATATTTTACATGCAGACATATAAATTGATATAAATTAACTCATATTTTATATATTATATGATGTACATATATATAACATTTCAATACATGTATATATATATATATGTATGCATATGCAGGTGTGCTAAATAGACAATTATATTCACAATTAATTAGACGTGACATATCTCTGCAAAATGCCTTTTGTCTATTAAAATATTCCGCTATAAATTATAATTTATTTGCTTGTCTCTTACACGTGCTGATATGGAGTTATTAATGGAATTTTACACTTCAACACTTAATACGCGTGTATACTTGTTAATATATATTTTATTGAATTTTAGTCCCAATATTTGTAGACAATTAGCAATTACAAATATATATTTGAGCAATATTTACACTTACACATATACAAATATGTTTGCATGTAACTTTATGATTATATTGCATGACACTTATATATATATATATTATATATATTTAATATTGAAGATTATATATATTTTAAATATTACTTAGCATATCTACAGTTTTTATCTATGCAGTGTGTTGTACCTATGCAGTTCCGAACTCAATATTTATATTTTTATGTTACTTTTCTTAAAAACTCTCCCACAAAATGTTTTGTGCAACAGATTGTCTACAACCCTACATAAGTCTATTATTTAACTTACAGCCGTTGACACTCAGCAATTTTCCCAAACCTTGGTAACTATTACCTAGGGACCAATGTGAGCTGCGCGATATTCGAAATCCAGACGTATAATAATACTCTGCTTTAGGCAGTTGTCGCCAAATTTGCAATTTGTCTACATTGAGTTCGACTGAGCTTTAGTGTCATTTCTATTCTATTCCCAATCGCATAGGCGAACTACCGGCACATACAGCAAATCAAAAATAAAGACTGATATACTGAAAATGTAATATTTTGTTGAGGGATTAGAAATTTATGTTCACCCGTAGCCATCATTGTTACGGACCTCTTAAAAATCAAGACTTCTGTTCGTACAACTTCGTGACTCGCGCATGTAAAAGATCCGATTTAAAGCAATTTCACTTTCCTTTAATTTGGAAAATAATGCATTGATAAATCTTTATGCATTGATAAATCTTTAGCACTATAATTGAAAAGACAGCTCAAGATCATAAAAAGTACTGTATGCCATAAAAAATTGACTGGATTAGATATGCGTCCAATAAAATCCAAAGTAAATTGTGGTCAGAGAGTCGTAATTCTATGTTAGTTTTCCTCAGAAAGTTGATTATTTGAATTTAGTATGTCTTTATGTCTTTATGTATTTATATGCGTATTGTTGTTATTCTCACTAAGACAAAACTGCGTAGGTTTTGGAACAGTTTTTATCAGTCCTACATAAGATTCTGGAATTTGCACTATTTAGTATATGTTCTTAGCTATAATCAATATACTTGTAGTCTTAATCTTAAGCGCATACTGTTCATTCTGTTTTATAGGCGCAAGTTTAGATATTGTTCTCGAAGGTTGATGAGTAAGTGTCACCTCATATTTCTACTACTAACTTGATATTGACTTTACCTTGCAACCTATTAAAATTTGAGTTAATGGAAGAGCGGTTTTCTTTATCGTTTTCATTTAAAGTTTTACAAATACCAGTTTCTGTAGAAGTTATGCGTCCTAAGCTACCGGTTTGTTTGGGCAAAGACTATCCATTTATGTTATTGCATATATATTATGATATATTATTCTATTATGAACTTCTAAGTGTATTATACATATTTGAGTTTTTGGATTGTGGTACTTTTTCAGTTTCGAACTTTTCAAAAATGGATACGAATTTACGGGAGCCAAAGTTGTAATCTGGCATCTGACACACAACTGTATCGTAAAGTTTGACGTTTTTGATGTTATACATACTCAGAACGTTTTGAAATACAAACGCTATTTGTGCTCTCGGTCAAAAAATGGATTTAAATCGCGAACAATTTCGCGCAATTTTTTTTTATAACTTTTGACGTGGGTTAACTCAGCAACAGTACATCGATAAACTTAATTAAATTTTTGGCAATGAAGCTTTATCAAGGACTAGTTTTTATTGATGGTATGGTGAATTCAACCAATGTCGTAGATCACTCCAATACTATTATGTATCGTGGCTTTACGCGTATGAGCCTGCAAGTAAACTGCAGTTGACGGTATGGGTGCTGCAAGATGAGCCGAGTCCATTAAAAGTTGTTCTGGCACAAAGCATTTCCAAGCAAATGGTTGCTTGTATTTTTTTTTTTTTGCAAAAACTAGACATGTCGCAACCATACGACTAAAACAACGCAGAACAATAAATTCTGGCTGCGACAATTGGTTCAAACGTATGCAATAATGTAATGCTCATAATGGAAAGTATTTTGAAGAACCATAAAGCGATTTTCGATGGTTAACATTTTTTTTGTTTTCTAATCCCGAAATATGAAAGGCGACACCCGTAGTTTCCTATAACATAATCGTGAAAAAAGTTGGCTGAAATCAGCGGTTGATTATGACTGTAAAAATTAATAATATCCAATCATTTTAAAATAACACTTTTAAGCCAAAATATTTCGCCACGGTTTGGCGCACTGATTAAAATCTAGTTAATATTATGCTCGTTCACGCTTTCATTTCATTGTCACACGATCTTAAACAATAATTATATAACACATTATTATTCACTTATTGTTTTTGTTTATTTGTTTTTTGTTTTATTTGTGCTTAAACATTCACACATTTAGCTACTGGTCCACATTACACTTCTTTACTCTCTACTTAGTTCAAAGCGTTTATGATTGTTCTCCCCTCGAAATTTTTGTACAGACTTACTGTGTGAATAATTAATAGTTAGTTAACTATAATGATACTTAAATCATTTAGTATCTACGCACATGCAAACATATGTATCTGACCAAGCACAGTTATTAAAACACATATGCATGTAAATAATGCTAGCTATATGCACATTAGTATATATGTGTCAAATTTAATATTAAAGTAGGTATATAAGTATATACATATATACTCTTAAATGTCAGTGCACTCTTAAATTTAAATAACATTTGGTTGTTCTTTGTGGTTACACATAAATTCTAATATAAACATAAGCTCATATTCTTATTGTTTTTATACTAGGTTCTCTTAAATATATACATACATATATATGTTTATATGTGTATATTAGGGTGTCCGTTAGTTTCCAACTTTTGTTTTTTTTTTGCAAAGACCACCTGAAGTCTCAGTTTTTACCCTAAGAGAAAGCATCCAACGTAAACACGTTCTTTTTTCAATTTAAACGGTGTCAAAATCATATTATTTTTCCCATATAATTAACATGGAATTTTTTGATTTTTTGCAATAAATTTTGTATCTTCAAAGCACATAAACTTTGAAAAGAGGATATCCCAATACAAGATTTAGCATTCTATAAAAGAGGTCTGATTGATTTTTTCCATAAAAATATTCTCTTAAAATTTTACAGCAGTTAAGGTTATGTATCAAATGACCTGAGCATTCATACATTCTGTGTTGCTCATACGACATGGTGTACTGTAGGAATACAATACAATACAATACAATTTGACGTATAACTTTTAACTGTGTATAACTTTTAAAGGAGTGATTTTATGGAAAAAATCTTTAAATCTTTTTTGTAGGGGGGATAATCTTGTATTGGTTATTTATTTATTTAAAGTTGTAGGTTTACTGCAAAGTATTAAAAAATTCCATGTTATATATATGGGAAAAGAAACCTGATTTGGGCAAGGTTTAATTTGAAAAAAGAGAGCTTGTTTATGTTTCATAATTTTCTTAGGGCAAAAATTAAAAATTCTGGAGTGCTTGCAAAAAAAAAATAAACTTGGGAAATAATAGTTTTACAACTATTTTAACATTTTTATTATTTTCATTTTCACGCTGGTTAAATTCATTTGTATATGCGTTTTGTAATAATTTATACAAGTATGTATGTATGCACATATACATAAATATATCTGTGTAAGTATGATGTATTGGTTAAATAGTGTTTTTGATCTTTATTGTATTATAGGTATTTATTGAATTACAACGTTACAAAAGTCGTGGGGAGGAAGACAGAGATTTTTTAAGCATTAAATTTATTTATAAAATAGTTTTTTTTAAAGCGGTATATATGTTTCTAAATAAAAATAAATAATAAAATTGCGAATATTTTATTTTTATTAGTTGCTTGCACATAATTTCGGACTTTTATGACGATGTCTTGCCTTCATAAGATCCTGTCAATTTTAATGCACCACTTATAAGTATAGAACTGTGACATGACATATACCCACAAAAACCAGCCTAGCGGAGTTAAATCACATGAACTAGGTAACCAAATGACAGTTCATTTTTGTACCCTGAACATTGTATATTAAGTTTGTCACGATCTATGTAACACTCAAAAGGAAACGTCGGAGACCCTATAAAGTGCATACAAAAATGATCAGCATGATGAACTGAGGCGATTTAGCCATGTCTGTAGATACACGAACTAGTCTCTCAGTTTTTGAGATATCAATCGGAAATTTTGCACACGTTCTTTTTTCTTCAAGAGCCCCCTCATTTGTCCAAATCGCCTATACCGGATCACTATAGCATATAGCTGCCATACAAATGAACTATGGGAATCATGTGCTTGTATGCACAACTTTTTTATTTGACGAGATATCTTCACCAAATTTAGCATGGGTTATTGGCCAAGTTAACGATGCAAGTGCTGTAGATATGATGTGATTTTTCTTGTGAGAAATCTTTTTGCATTTCTAAAGGGTATTATAACTTTGATGCAACCGAAGTTAAATTTTTTTTGTTTTCTTTTTGCTTCAAATGATCCTGTAAGAAGTTCTGTCAACGCGGCCTCAGCTTTTTTTCGAGGGACTGCCGGAATTGATGTCCTAATAGCCGAACGTTTAAAATATGAATATTTTCTTTTGAAAATTGAACAATATATTTATAAAATATGTATCTTTGGAATAATAAAAAGTTTGAATAAAATATTTAATTTTTAATATAAAAAAAAATATTGCAATAGGCCGAATTTTCAACGAAACCCATGTAACCCCTTAAAGTACACTATTTAAAGTTATCTGCTAAATTATAAGGATACCAGGACCTTATATGCCCAAAGAATTTAGAAATTGTCCGCTCCCTCGTTTACAAGTGCTATATAATGCTTTACGAAAATGTGAGAAAAATCACTGCATCGAAACAAGTGAACGGCATTTGACTGGCAATGAGGAATATGTATACAACCATGTAATTGTTGATTCCGACTGAAAGTGTGTTAGCTGGCATGAGAAGTTTTTGGAAAGGGATATCTCCAATTTATCGATCGAATGTTTGCACATAAGAAAGCGCTTGCTAAAGCTGGCACGAACAATTCCAAAAAGTTGTTTCTAGTATCCTTCCAATACCTTTACCAAATCCATCAGCTTGTAAGGTTAACTTCTGAAAAATATTATGTAAATTATGAAAGCAAGATTTAGAATTTTTAAATTTTTGTAGAAAGTTGACAACTTAACACGTCCTCTTAGGTTAGTATATATAAATATATGTCATAAGCACCAATCTGAAACTTGCAGCAAGTATTTCAAACAAACTTTACACATCTTTACATGTTACTTTCAATTGCATTATATATTCCAGCTCTCCAGCTGTAGCCTGAGCTTTGGTGCAAGGAGAGTGAAAAAGTGAATTTACTATTTAAATTCAGTTTTATGGCGATTTCGTTAATCAACTAATAGCTTGCCATTCATTCATTCTCGTAAATGACAGCTATTTGTTGCATACAGCAATTTGATTTCAATTCATACTTGGAAGTTGTAAAATTTGTGTTTGCATTTCCCCTCAAGAGCTTTATGATACTTTTATGGCCATTAAAACTAAACCATCAGCAGTGGCAATACACATTTGGAAAATGTATATATATACGAGAATATATAGAATATATATATAGTATATGTGTATTTATGTATGTGTTAGTTGTCGGTTGTGTCAGGTACATAGTACATTAAACTAAAATAATTTGCATTATTTGCTCGACTGTTCTGCGTATTGTTCGTCGGTATAGTAGTACTTATAACTAGTATGGTATATGCAACGAGCAGGAGAAGGTTTGACAGAAATACCATAAATTCTTACCATACTTTATGAGCATAAAAATAAAATGGAGTCATCTAGCATATGTGTAAGCGTACTGCAGTTTAGAACTAATGGTTAGTGCTTTTCAAACTTAATTGTTATTTCAGTATTTTGCTGTTGGAGGATGTGTATATGTATATATGTGTACATGTGTTGATTAAGAGTACGTCATGAATGTGTTTTAGTGACGAAAACTATGCTTCTATGCTAAAAACGAGATTAATTTTGTGGGGAAAACAGCTAGGGATAGGTTATAATTGCAAACGTCTCATGGTAATTAAAAGTACATCTAAAATTACTATTTCGATACCTTCGACTTTAAAGATATATTATTTTAGATGAATATAACAAACGCGTAGGATATTGCTCTAAAAGGGAACAAATAGGAGAGCACTTAGCGCGAACTGGAATCTCAGCTCTACTTACTGGAGAGCAATATGGATTAAAGATACCTTCAAAATTATATATTTGGCGCTGAGCTTGTGGATCGATACACCATAACTTAAACGTAAATCTGAAATAAAATTTCGTTTATGATAACTTACTGATCGAGATATTTGCTATTAAGACAAAGGAACGGCCGATAATTTGTTTACCGTTATAAGCTGCTGATCTGTATCGAGCTCAAGTGTGTGTCTTTCGTATGCCAGATATATTTCTTCGGAGTTTAAGTTAGGTTAGGTGTATGCCTAGCAATGGAGTCTCGGGGTTCTCCCTCAGAGAATAGAAACACCGATATTTTGTGTAGTCAATGTTAACTTCAACTGTACCGAAGCTATGATACCCTTTACAAGTGTACCATATTTCTCATAGCATAAAATCGTATAAAAGAAACTTGTGGAAGAAACGAATATGTGAAAAATTTCAGATCGATATCTCAAAAAATGAGTGACTAATTCGCTATATATACAGATGGAACGACGGACAGACAGACGGAAATGGCTAAATCGACCCCGCTCGTCATGCTGATCTTTTATATATGTACATTTATATATGTACACTTTATACGGTTTTCGACGTTTTCTAATGGCAGTTACAAACTTAAGACCCCTTGCTAAGGGTATAAGAAAACACATAGGTATGGATTAAAGCACCAAAGCGAAGCACTCAAATCTGTAAACCCAGCTACGAATAATGCCATGAATGATAATAATATAAAGGGGACGCCAACAAGAACTTTCTTGACAAGACCCTTGGTAATAGACTGATTGACATAACTTTTCTAGAGACTGATGTAAGTTTTTTTGTAGCGCCAGTTAAATTGCAATCAAAGCCATTATTTTGTAATAGATGGAACGCATGTCTCTAATATTTTGGAAGTGGATACTACCCATGGCTTCAATATATTTAAAAATTACTTTGGACTGCTCTTGATCTTTGAGTGGCGTGTAATATATTAGCAGTCGGATGACATATTTATGGAACCTTTTGCATAATGACTGAAGCTTCTTATACTCGTAGAGTCTTAGAAATCGAAATTACATCGAGCATGTTATAAAGAAAATGATATTTTGAATTTGTTATGATGACCCTTCCGGATAATAAAGGAATAAGACATAACATAGACATTGGTAAAAGAAGTATTCAACATTGTTTATTTGTTATTCATGCCAACATTGTAAGGAGAGAACGAAACTAACGGAAAATGTCGAGTCGCCGATATTGCCTCGACGGTCAGAGTTTACAATCAACGAATATACATATGTATCTACAATCGCATAACAGTAATTACATTTCTTTTCACCTATAAAAAAGGAAATTTAAATACCATACCGTTACACTATATAAAATCTTCATATATCTGTGTGAGCAAAAATAATGTCCGGTAAATAGCCACGAGCTTGAACGTATTTGCAATTAGTTTGTTACTCTCACAACCCGACACTCGCTCCCTGACCTTTCGAATAAGCAAGTAAAATTTTAATTGAAACCCCTTTGAATTGTGGCCACGATGGTAGCACGCAAACTGCATAGACCGTAACACCGCAAAGGCATTATAACTCTAACTAACTTATGAATATATGTATTTATTTTTAGTATGTTTGTGTATATGTATATAAAGGTTATAAGAGTGAATCGCATACATCTATATGCTTATTTACATACTATGCAAATACTCTGATTGCCAACAAGTCTACGGAGCTATTTCGCATTCAAGGTCAAGTTGCCAGCCAAGTGTCGATTAAATTTTGGGTTCCGTACAAATTCGCAATTAATTTTAACTCCTAACTTAATTGAATATAAAATACTGGTGGTTATGGTTGACATGATTTCGGACACATGACCAAACACAAACAAATAATTATTTTTGGTATTCATATGGTTAATATATTATTCGTACATATATTAATTGCAGTTTTGAAGACATGTTTACCAATAAAGGGTACAAGAAAGAAATTGAAAATCATAGAAATAGCCTGAACTATTTCATCGATCTCCTAAGAAATCGCCATACAAGAGTTTGGTGTGAATTTCAAGTCGGTTGAAATAATTGTTCAAAAACTGGCACTTTCGCAAAAGGGTAATAAATAAAGAGGGAGAGTTTCGAAGCAGTAATTAGACTATAACTTAGACACAGCTACCTATTTTAAAGCAGAGCTGAATAGTATGAGTAAAGCTTGGCTTCATTAGCAGTTTCTTGAAACTTTAAATTAAAATCGACTAGTTTGAGCTAGGATTTGTGGTGGCCTAAATGTATCGTTAGCTGTAGAGATTATTCAAAACATTGATTCCTGTATCTATAAAAACTCTTTTAACTAAATTTAACAACGAAAAAATTTTAGATTTCTCAGTCGAAATTCGGAAATTTAGAGGTATGAAATCATGAACTCCACTATTACAACAAAACTCGCTTCTAAGTAATCGGAAGGGACCCAGATTTATATCCGAATAAGAAGCGAAAAACTCCTTAGAATTTGTAAATCATAATCGGGACATTGTTTTTAGTTTCCGAACTGGTTTTTTTCACTAGGAAGTAAATTGAAACCCAACATGAAGAAAAGAGTAACAAAGGCATTGGTTGTCTAGTACTGTTACAGAGGAGCCATTGGAAAGATGGCGCTCTGACCAAAGGTTTGATTCTATGTAACTATAATCCAGTCTTTATGCTGCTACGGAATATTTGTATGATGGTAGACCAAGACCACAATCTCGAAAAAATTAGTGTCCAATGAGCAGTTTTCATCAGTATGTGGAGTCCACTACGAACCACACCAACTACGGCGCTCATTGCCTTGCTGCATATAGCACCGGTGGATATAGGCGAAAGGTAAATGGACGCGAAAGCTGCTATCAGACTCAAAGAATCTGGGTACTTAGATGACGACAAGCATGGACTTTCTGGAATCCTCGTACGCTTTGATTTCATTCTAAAATACTTCGGGTAAATCAAGGTTTGCGGGGACTGTTGCCGGAGGAGTACACTGTCGAGAACTATCCAACAGCTCCAGCAGCCAAACCAACTGGCTTCACAAAAAACCGCACATAGCGGCCTAAGTGTGATCCACTCGCAATATGGAGGGATCGGCTTATCAAAACTAACGTGTTAGCTGCCTTAGGGTTCAGCGTGGGTAGATAATTTAAACTACTGTATGGAATGATTTTCTATCGAATCAATTAACGAAAAATGGAAAGAATTCTACGGTTATTAAGAAGTACATATATAATCTGAATAGCCATACTACAAAAGTACCTTTCCCAAGACTGATACAGTGTTGGTCCAAGAGTAATTATGTATCAGCCTAAGCGTCAGTACTGTTCAGAACTCAGAAAATTGCTGGTTCTTTGATACCATAAGCTGAGAGTGATAAATAAGATTTTGAAAATTTTGAAAGGACAGGGTTAGATCCACAGGAAACCATACATATCGAAAATAAGGTTCTTCCTAATTTTTAAGTTTTTGCCTGCCAATCGTTTCGCTTTGTAGGCAAATATAAGTAGAAGAAGGCAATATTTAAGAATAAGAATATTTTACTTCAAGTATTACAAAATGTCGTCGCAACATTCAAATATTTTTCACATTATTGTAACTTTTACCTCACCAAATATATTATATATTTGAATCTACCATTCATACACGTCCCTTTTTGCATGCTACGTGTTCAGCTTAGTCTTATATTTGCTCAAATCGCTTAATACTTTACTTAAATTTCAATATAATCCACCGTTGTCTATGTGCCTATGTATCTTTACCAACATCTCCACGCTTTGGTATTCATGAAGACAAGTTAGTCGGTACTCCATCAACTTCACATCTCAATTTCATCTGACCCGAATCCATTATTCAATATAGTCTCAGACCTAAACAAACTAACTGGCTGTTCTCGTATATGTTTTCATCTATGTGTGTGTGTCGATCAAGTTAAATTCCAACTCGTATTCATAAGCAAATGAAGCGAAATTAATTGAAGGTATAAAGGCGTCCAACTTGAATGCAACTCACATAGCCGACAAGCTTAGCAGGATATTTGTATAGCAGGCGAAGAAACTGCTGTTTCAGACGAATACGCGCACGAATCTAAAGTGATGGATCGATGAATGGGGAAGAAGCAGATGGTCGTTGTACCATGCTTATAAAGGTACAGCATTGTACTTAACTCGGCAGGAAAGTACATATTTATGGATTTATGGTTTAATTGTATATGCGTTAGGGTGGTATTAAAAGAATAGAAAATAAATAGTTTACAGTTTCGCCTTTTCATTCATTCAAATATATCCCATATTACAAGTAATTTGTGTCGCTTTTGAAGACCGAGTTGTTCGGTTGAAAAGTGCAGGTCGTTAAGAAATCATTCGGCTAATAGTGCGCTCAAATGGCGTCCAACTACATTTGGAGCCGTGGAAGATATCCGATCTCAACCGCTGCTATATTACTCGAGCCCTCTTTTATAAAACTAGAAGTCTTCTGGTCTGTCCACTATCTTCATTATCCAAAGTAATTTTGTGGTATCCATTGTAATGGTGCTTTTTCGAGAAGAAAAAATATCTAAAATCCATAAACCTTTTTAAATTTATATGTGAGGCCGTAGCAAATTCATGGTAGCGAATCTGATGTACAAAATTTGTTTCTACTATATATAAGAACCACCTCAATATACCGATATCTATATGCTTCCAGCTATTTACATGCTATCCCTAGAGCTTATTGGAATATATAATATAAATGATGTGGTTTCTTGTAACTTCTGTTGGAAACCACACATATACTTACATACATATCTATATACCTACATATATACAATAAATTAGCTAAGAGCTTAGTTTACAGAGTTACTTAATACATTAAATATTAACTTACATACTTTACTAAAATCCATACACACTCTAATACTCATACAAAATATATACACAGACTCTACCTCAAACACCCATTCAAAGCTGTACACAGTCTGTGCCGAACTCCATTATTTATCTACTGCGGCTACCGCTGCGACTTGACGAGCTGCGACGTTTAATTATCGACAACAGACCGGATGAGCTCGTATCCGACGGCTGTTTCTTGACTTTCGTTTTCGAGATTTCCAGTTTCTGCTACATGCTTGGATTCCAACTGGTTGTAGTGGAGTATTGGCAAGTGAGCACCTTCTTGAAGGCTTTACGAAACACTTCATTGAAGGTGGTGTAGAAGATGGGATTCACCATGGACGAAGCATAGCCCAGCCAGGTGACTACATCAAAGACCCAGTGCGCTATACGATTCTCGCAATCACCGCATATCGTCGGCAACAAATTGAGCACAAAGAAGGGCGACCAAAGTATGACGAAAGTGAAAAATACCACACCCAGCACTTTGGTCGCCTTCTGTTCGAGTTTGATGATACGGCCGTGACGTGAAGAATTGCGGGAAATCACGCTTGAATTACGTGAGTGATGTGAGCGTACTGTTTGGTTGCGTTGCAATAGACATGGTGAGGAATGTGGCGTGCTAGTTTTTGGACGTAACCTGCCCGCTTCGACGACATTCACTGTGCCATCGCAGGCCGTAGAAACTTGTAGATAATTCATGTTGTTGTGACTGCGTAGCGTGGCGGAACGTCGCAGCGGCGTTGCTGAGGAGGAGCTCGTGAGTACCGTGTCGGTTTTGGTCGGTGTTAGTAGCAGTGTAGTTCGCGTACTACCGAAACTGGAACCACGTGTACGATGACGACTTGCATCCCACGTAATAATCGATGCTGTTTTCGAGATGCTGAGTTTCCGACGTCCGGGACATGGTGTACCCGGCGGAGCTGCAGCACTCAAGTAATTACCCGACGTGCTGCCATCAGTGGAGTGTACAGTTAGCGAACTAGCGCTATGTTTGTTATTCATGCGTTCGGCCGAGCTGGGACTTAGATGTGTAACGGCGTTGCCATTACCACTGCTGTTGTTTGTAACCAATATGCTAGTTAATTCTTCTTCCGGTGGATTAAGTAAATTTTCAATTTCCATTGCGTTGGTCACCTTGAATGTGGTGGGTATAATTTTCACCTCGGTCGGTTTGACACAATTCTGTAGCGGTCGATCGCCGAAGTATGGGCATGTGCAGATAGGTGGTAACTCTGCTTGCTTATCGTTGCTGCGCTGACATTGTGTTTTGCCGTTTCGCTCAACCTCCGTGTCCGAATGTCCTTTCGCCTGCGTGCCGTCGGCATCTGTGCTGTTTGTGGCTTGACTGGAATGTCGGCAAAGGAAGAGTAGCGCATTTTTCGGCAAACTGTTGAAACGATTGCGCCGCTGCGGCGGTGGCGTATCGGCGCGCACTTCACGTGTGCCTTGTGTAGCTGTGGAATAGCGGCGCCGATTTCTAGCAGTCATCATTGCGTGCTGCGGTTTGCAAGATGGCGAAAGGGATCTGGAATGGTGGAACATTTATATTACAATTATTAAAAGGGAATCATATAATTATATGCTTATCTATATTAATATTATAAAGCGGAAGGATCTGATTGTTTGTTTGTTTAAATTGAATTGGCTTCGAAACTACTTAGCGGCAGTGAGAAGCTACACTCCCTTCGGTGCATATAGTATTCTTAGTATAATTTAATAAAATCCTTACATAACTATACCTTTATATAAGTTTTTGAGTTATTCGAATTGAAGGGTAAGTATTAGAAAAAAGGCTGCAACATAATATGCGATGTAGGCCACGGAAGGGAGTCAATGTCATAAAATAAAATGCAGCGCAACTCTTTAGCTCAGTTGGCTGCCTTCTAAGCGGTTGTTTGCGGAATGGGATATAAATAATATTGAAAGTGCGATGTTCACATCTGATCATCTATATGAGTTCCACTTCCCCCAAGTGGGATAGAAAATGGAGTGATCTGCTAATATAACATATTATAAGTAAGCTAAATATTACAAAAACAACATGATAAAGTCGTCCGGATGAACGACTTAGTTTAGATAAGCTGAGAGCTTGGGTAATTCGTGCATTAAACTATATTATATACCATATTATACTTTCACCTAATTTGGCTAAGATATCTTACATATTGACCGATATAATACGGTACGGTACTCCTATAAAGCCAACTGGAGGACTGAAATTCTTATATTATTGTATAAAATTATATAACAATGATATGTATTGCCCTGATTTAATCCATTTTAGGTAAGAGAATACACAGTTATTAGTAAGATATTCTTTCTGAATTTCATTCAGATGCGGTAAAAAGTCAACCGAAGTTCAAAAATATTTATATTAATATACTTGTATATGGGGTCCAAGAGACCCAATTTTACCCATTTTTGACACAAAGAATTGCCGCCCAGAATTTTTATACTAGACCTCATATATTATATTATATTAACCGATATGTTCGGTAAAAGATCAGTCGCATGCACTGATGTCCATATATTTGACGTTTGGGTGCTTGAAGACATGTTGCGAGATTATGAAAAGCGCGTTCTTGTAAGGAAACATTTTGGCACTGCATTATTGTCCAATCTCCGGGGAAATTTTTCAGATCAGACTACTATAGCATATAGCTGCTATACAAACTGGCCGATCAAAATCAATACAGAGAGCTTTTTATACCGTTTTAATCTATTTCTTATAAAATTAACTGCCATTTATACAGATTATATGACAGTAGTGACCTCCCCGCAGCAACAAGCCGAGTGGATCAATACTGCTAACTGTAAATGTCTAATTTAAACATTCAAGACTAATTTGTACTTATTTTTCATTCCACTAAACGCCTATTTGTGCTCATGTGCCAGTCTATTGAAACAGTTTCACACCCACAATCCCCTGCATTGACTTCGTTATTGTCGTCTTTTGTTCGCAGATATTTTGAGAGCTTTGTGTCCGCGTGGACATACTTAGCGAAAATGTCAATTAGCACAGACACCAAGGACATAATAGAAAACATATTGAATTGTTTGACATTCCCACAGTTTACGTCGGAGGCAGAATAAGAGAATGTAGCACGAAGTTGGAGGAGGAAGAAAAAATCTATTCAAAAGTCTACACTTGAGATTTGTTCCAGAATAAATTTGTGGTGCTGGTTTTTTGTTTTTTTCTTTCTTATTCATTTGACAAGCTTAATATGAGTGGCGCTGCTAAGCAGTTATAAGTGCCACAAGCACAGCGCCGCTCGCAAAGACTTAAGTTTAGCTAAGACGTTGAAGTTTTTGTTATTGTTGTTGAGGGTTTTCTTCTTGGCGCAGCGTAGCATAAAGGAGCTCTCTACATTTTCATTTAATATTTCGTCATTTTCGCTGAAAAGCACGTTCAGCGCACATTTAAGCAAGCGCTTATACACACACACACACACACACAAGAATATTTTCATGTTGCATTATTAATGCGAATGCCTCTACAACGGCAGCAGCATGTGGCGTGTGCAATGTGGCCATCGCACATTTCAGCAAAGAAATAAAACGAATAGCAGCAGAGACAAAAAATAAAGAAAAACTCGCACATATTCTTGCGTTTTTCAAAATGTATAATATAATATATCATAAGCGCGCTGCTGCTGTAAAGAAGCAATAAAAGTGACCATGCGAAAGCTGTAAGCTTCATATTGCGGCAGGTAACGTAGTGAATGCATAATGGTACCTGGATAAATTTAGTGACTTTCTAAAAATGCCAGCCTTCATACAGTGTGAGAAGATGAATTATGCTACATGCATGTATGAGTTTGTGTGTATGTTTAACTGTATATGGTATATTAAAAGGTACACAATCATATTTTTACATTTGCTTTCTTCCAGCATAAAAATATAGCTTTAATTATATTTTCTTCTGCTCTTCCCACAGCTTTTATTACTTTAAGCATTTGGATTATATGCGAATCTTAAGAGTTACTTGTAGTTAACAGATTTTAACATTTATGACTTTATGAAATCTTCACCATCACCAGTAAAATGGTAAATTCCTTTCAATGCAAATTTTGTAATTATTTAATTTGACAAAAAAAAAAAAAATAAATAATTCTTTGAAACCAGCGCTGAATGTTAGCATTAAAGATGAAAGAAGAGTTGCCCCCGTTTATCAAATTTCATAATCATTCTTTGCAGTAAGGAGCACTGCACAAAATTCAACAGAAATTTAGCTGTCTGGTTTGTAAAGCGACAGCGATTTGTCACATAACCTCATTCATAGAATTCTTAATCGATTTTTACTTCAATCTTCTTAAGAGCTCAAAATATATATCCAATAGATAGTCTTCAGCGTAGGAGAATGGGAATACAAATAAGGAAGTTAATATATTTTTATATATATTAATACGTCTTCAGTTGATGATAGAAGAAGAAGGGGTCGTACTCGCGTGATTCGAACCAATTCAGCCATAAAAAGTATTCGAAAACACATTCGCAGAAATCTCTTAGAAAACAGAAAATTGTGCCAAGAGCAATAAATATATCGACCAGATAAATGTCAAGACTTATTCGAGATGATCCCCACATGAAAATCTACCGTCGGTGAACTGATCAACTTGTGATAATGCATTGGAAGTAAATTAGGCTCAACAGATGCAAGCGGCTTCTTCAGTGGCACGCGGGCAACGGCCATGAAAGTAGCCTTTTTACAGATGAAAAAATGTTCACTGTTGAAGAAGTTTTTAATAAGCAAAATGACAAAATCGACGAAAAAACTTCCAAAGACGCAAAAATATTATTCCAAGGGTGCAAGGTGGTCACCATACAGTTGCTGTAATGGTTCAATGGGGAGTCCCATGTAAAGGCGTTACACCTCTGCCTCTTTGAAAAAGTGTGTACCAGAAGAATGTTTTGGAAGGCGTGGTAAAGCAGTTAAGTAATACTCTCTTCGACGGAGAGCATTGGTTCTTCCAGCAAGTTTCTGTTCCATCACACAAGACGAAATCCACCCAGCAGAGGCTCCAAAGCAATATTCCTAGTCTTATAGTTTGTTGGAGATGATTGGCCATATGGAAGTCGAGAGTTGAATCAATTAGACTAGAGTTTGTGGTCAAAGTTAAAGAACATGACCAGTCGAATATTCCGCAGAAATTTGAAGATTCTTAATATATATAATCTACAAACATCTGAAGCTATGTCAACCAAACCAGCTGATAATATCGGTCAATATGTGTGTTATTCTAAGAAGACTCAGAGAACCTATTTTTTCACGCAACAATATGTCTTGATGTCAAAAATGGATAACGATAGTCTCTTTGTCTTATACATCGGCCAATATATAACATAATATAACTAACGAATTAGCTCTTCCCATATAAACATTTTGGTTAAGTTTATACCCCTTATGGTATATTTCAGTGTATATAATAGGATATGACTAGTCTTAAGAATTTAAAGTCTAACTTCACCTAAGTATTAACTTTGGGTGAGAAATTACTTAAAAAAGCGACGCATTTATTGTATTTAACACATACTATTTCTATACGCAATAAAAGTTTCTACGTAAAGTAAAAGTATGTTTCGAATCGCTATGATGTATTTGCCATTTCAGCATAATTTAAACGCGTTTTTTAAACCTTAAGGTTCTGAAAACAATTGCTAGTCGTAGGTTAATAAGAAAACGGTATAATAGTCTAAAACGAAGCAATTGAACTGTCAGTTGTAACTGTGTCTAATAAGCAAAAAAAAAAAATAAAATAAAACATTGAGTACCGGTCTGCTGTTGAACAGCAACCAATCGAAAAGTTTCCAGCCATCAAGCAAAGAGTTATTGCATTCACAGCTTGCATTCAATGTCTTCATTGACAGTCATAATTTCACGATTGTAGAGTTTGCCGAAAACGCATAGCCGAAGGATAACAAATTCGACCAGCAATGAAGCGTAATAAATCGATAGACGTACGCTGCCACCAGCATGTGAAAGGCGAACGCTAAAAGATTTAAGCGAACGGCCAACATAAAAAAATCGAAAAGGAATAGAAAAAACTCAAAAACAATGTCTAAAAAGTCAAGTCAAATAAAAAATGATGTGCAATGGTCAATGCGGCGGGAAGTAGAAAAGCTAAGAGTGAATGTAAGAAAAATTGAAAAAAAGTTGCGAAGTGAAGTGTGAAAATGTCTTAGTACATTAAAAAGTAATAACAATAATACTAAAAATAAAGTGCAATTTAAAAATATTAATAGAGGAATAGCAAAGGAAAAAGGAAAAGTATGGTATGTGAAATATTGAAAAACTTAATTTTCTACAGCGGATTGCGAAGAAACTATTATAAAACGTTAGATGGAAGTGAGCAGTTGGTTGTCTTTATAAAATATGATTCGATCAAAAATCAAACTTAGTATCCCACTTTCAGGGTATAAAAATAGCAGATGGGCTGAAAACATAGCAGGATTTTAAGTACTGAGACTGAGAAGAGTACTGAAGACTGAATTTGGTGAGTAATATGCTCTAGACTTGAAAAAGCC